TGCCATGTTTGCTGACCTCCTCAAGAAGGCTTTTGGCTGTGCCTTTTCTTTCCTGTAAGGGAGGGAAAAATATCAGGATGGGAAAACTGGTGCGTGTTAGTGAAGAATTCAAGCAGGACTGTTCCTGACCCAGGCTCCTCCTCAGCACCCACTCTGGTTTCTCCCGGGGGCTGAACTCCAAGGGTTGAGCAGATAAAACAATCGTTTCTCTATCTAATCTCTTCTCAGCTGCATTATCTCAGCACAAACACACAGTTGGTTTCTCCACTGCTCAGTTAAACTCCCTCAGAGGGAGCAGCAGCCACGGCACTGCCTGGTGCAAACAGGGCTGGGGCAGCTGGTCCATCCTCCGCTGGCATTGCTGGCAGACATGGCACTGCTTTCCCAGGAAAGGAACTTGGACCCATGCAAATAACTCACTCGGAATTAAAGAGCGTGCCTGCTTGCTCTTCTGCAGCTTGGAGTTATCCTTCCCTCATAAGCGACATAGAACCAGCTCAGCTTCACCAGCTCCAGCCATGTCCACCATCACTGACCTCATGCCATGACCACACTACCTCACATCAACAAAGAAAGGACTGCAGTGGGATTTGGGCTACAGAGGACAAACATTCCTGCAGCATCTCCCGGGCTCCGTCCAGACAGGCAAGGATGGTGACAGTCTAATAATTAGGGCACATTGACACCGTGTTAAAACCAATTTCACGCTTTCAGAAAGGCCAGTTCAGTGCTTCCCATCAGGGGTGTCACTGTCTAAATAACGATGTGTGGGTAATTAGCAGGTAATTAGCAGGCTGTAATTACTGGCAGGACCATGCAGCCTGTCCCTCAGCATCAGGGCTCAGCAGGACTGGGGGAAGCCCAGGGCCTGTGCATCTTTAATTCCCAAGGCTCGCAGCCCACACTCCCCAGGAAGGAGCCTGCAGGACCTGGAGGTCCCCACGTTCCAGTAATCCTGCAGGTAAATGCTTTAGGTGGCCACAATAAAACTAAAGCTTTTCAACAGGTGGTGTGGGAAACCCAGACAAAAGAAGGCAGAAGCTCAAAGTTTGTCACCTCCAAATCTCCCCGTTCTGCACCTTCCACCATCAGATGGTGCAAAGGCAAAGAGCTGTTTCATCTGTGGAGCCATGAGCAGACAAAGCTGCTGAGCCACGTCCAGGGGCCAGCAGCCACCTCTGATTCACCCAACGCTGTGCTAGGAGAACATGGTATTTAAGAGGATTCCTTTCCTGTAACACACTGGGAGAACTGGTTTTGCAGCCCTTGGTCACACTAATTTGCTGATGACAAACAAGGTGCTTGTCAGGGAAAGCCAGTAAGTGGGCTTTATTCAGCTTAATCGTTGTGTTAATTGCAGGAGATGAGCGCTATTTACGTTGTATAACTACTATACAATCTCCTTAAGTAGGGTTCACTGAAAACAAGAGCTTCTCACCCATGAAACCACCTTTTCTTCAACAGCAGGTGAGAGTCCCTTCCAACAGCTGGCAGAGGTAAAGAGAGGAGAAGCTGCCCCGAGGCTCTTCACCACAACCACTAAGGCCAATAAAGTCTCTCAAGGAGTTCCCTTTTCTCCAGGGACAAGGTCTCAGCTGGGAGAGGCTTATTTGAGCAGAATAAGTGTGCTAAAGCCAATGCAAAGGCTCTATGAGGCAAAGGGGACTGTCTCAACTGCCCCTCAGGTGAGGACACCCCACATTTCCTTTGCCTGTTTCTTCAATCAAATCCTCCTGCAGTTTCTCAGCAGACCCAGTCCACTTCTGCTCTCCTGCAGGCCCCTCTTCTGCATCTCCCCCCTACAAAGAAGCCCTTCCAGGTTCCTGCTGTTCCCCAGAGCTCAGCCTGCATTTGGTGTCCAGCCATTTCCCCGCAATGCCCCAAGCCCCCCTGGGCTGAAGAGCGTGGAGTGTTTAACCAATGTGACTGATTTGGTATTTTGGAGCTGCTGAGGCTGAGCTGGCTCCAGGACAGGGCTGTTCTGGCACATGTCCACGGCTGCTCTGAACAGATAAGTGTGGCTGCCACAGCAGCTCGAGATGGGACAGGAAGGGTGGGATGGCTGTCAGAGAGAGAACAAGCCACGACAAACACGAGCCAGGAGGCTGAAACTCCTGATGAACCAGAGCCACTGACAAGGGACCACAGACCTTTGGGGGCACAAGGGAAAGAAAGCCCCCCAGAGCTGCCTGTTATGAGTCCCAAAGTGGCAGCAGGGGGGTTGGGCCCCAAGGGTAAGCAAGTCCTTGTGGGCCCAAGCTTGGCAAGGGTTTAGGGAGGATGGCACAGACTCCCTTGTGCCTGTCAGACAGCACAGCTATTGTGTAGAGCAGATATTGGGTTGAAATAGAAACACTCTGTCGAGGAAGAGGGACAACTGCCAGCTGGTGAGAGAAAAGGAGGTGAGCAAAACAAAGTGTAGTCAAGGGCAAGGGGCTGGCAGCAAACCACATTCTCATCCATGCACTCAAAGCAAAGCTCTGGCACAGGATTTTGATCTCAGAATGGCAAAACAAAGCTCAGTGCATTAAATTCTTCCTGACAGGACCAGCAGATCTCTACCCTCAACCTCAGATGCTCCTCCAAGACCTCTTAGAGCTGTTGCTCCTTTCCCAGGGCTCCTCAGGATCTGGAAGCTCTTCAGAGTGCCTAAATCCCCCTCAAGCAGCAAATGTTTGGCACTCTGAGCTGAGTCCCTCCCTCTTACCCCTCCAGATGCAGATGATGTGGAGGCTGCCCTGAGGTGTCAGGTGATGGCAGGGGTCTCCAGGCTCTGACAGTGTGTGACTGTGGGGCCTCCTCGGCTGCACCTTGAGCATCTTCTCTGAACCTCCCTGACATCTCCCCATGCTCCTGCTCCACAGGCTCCATATCCTCACCCCTGCCCCAGGCTCTCAGAGACTCCTTCCCATGGCACTGCTAATCACACTGGGGGATGGAGGGAGGCAGCAGAGGAGCGTGCATGGCCCCTGCTCCACATCCCCTTGAGCAGTGCTGATGTGCCCCTGGCTGGCTCTGGTTCCTGCAGACAGCTGACTGTGCTCACCCTCAGGGCAGTGCAAGGGCAGCATCACAGTGGTGGTCACTCCTGTCTTGTCCTGAGTGGACATTCCCCACTGGCACAGCCAGGAGGGATGGCAGCACAGGGGCTGGGCCAGCAGGGAGCCCCTGCAGCCACCAGCACTTGTAGAGACACTGCAGAGTAAGGCAATCCAGGATGGAGCTCTGCAAGGGATGCAACAATCCCTGCTGCCAGCCAGGACTCCTCCCAGCCTGCCAGGAGCTGCTCTGGGGCAGCTCCTCCTGCCAGCAGCCAGGGCCACCCGCAGGTCCCATGGGTGCCACTGCCCTCTGCAGTCCCCAGAGGAACACACAGCTCACCTCCACACAGGGTGTCCCTTCTGTCCTCTCCTTCCAACCTCTGCTCCAGGGGGCTTCCCTACGAAATTCCAGTCCAGGAGATGAGTCATCCAAGGAAAAGCATTGTCGTCCCACACCAATCCCTCCTCCTGTGTCCTTCTGTGACCTCCCACCTCTCAGCAGCCCCGAGAGGGCAGCCAAAGGTGTCCTGCACACCTGAGAGCTGTGCCCACCTGCTGCCTTCAGGCATGCAGTTTGGGACACACCTGGCTCTGCACAAACATCTCGGGCTAAACAGGCTCCTTGAAGCTGATTTAAAGTCAGTGGAGCACAACACACTGGGCTTGAGCTGAACTGATGTCCAGGCAGTCGAGGTGGGGAGGCAGAGGGCAGCACTGGGAGGGGACAGCTGAGGGCAGCAGCTTCAGCAGCTCACAGAAACATCCTTGAAGCTTTCTAGACTGCTGAGACATGGCTGGGTTAGGATCTGGGCAGGGCAGAGGGCAGGCAGTGACAGCCCAGAGCGAGCCAGCACTTCTGCAGCCACCCATGGAGATGCATCGCTCCAGAGGCAGAGCCTGAGAGCTGTCAGGACACAGCCAGAGCCCCTGCTCCTCCCCAGCCTGCAGGGAGAGCCCAGGAGAGGTCCCCAAGGATTCAGCATGTACCAGAGCTACAACGAGTCCTTGACTTGAGATACAACAGGAAGAAATTAAGTTTATAGTTTATTACAGTTTGTGCAAATCAGCTTATACTTGGACAACAGATCTCACAAAATCCCTTCTCCCTTCCCAGATATAAATTCCTTGCTGAAGCTGAGAGGGCAGTGCTGCTCCAAGGAAAGGTCACCAGAACTATGGCCACCTGAGAGCCAAGGGTCAGTCCTTGCCTCCCTCTTGGCTGGAAGAAAATAAATGAGTACAGAAAGGAAAGCCAGGCTGAGGCTGACATCCAGGACATCCTGACATTTTCAGCTCAAACAACTGAAGTCGGCAGAATTATAAGCAACTGGAAACTCAAAGACAGGAACTTGCAGTGGGATAAGCTGAACAATCAGAGTACTGGGTAGCAGCCAGAGACCTGCAGTTGAGGGAGCACACACACCAAAGAGCCCCCCAGACAGAATCACAGAGCCATTGAATGATTTGGGTTGGAAAGGACCTTAAAGCTCATCCAGTCCCACTCCCTGCCATGGGCAGGGCCACCTTCCACCAGCCCAGGGTGCTCCAAGCCCCGTCCAGCCTGGCCTTGGACATTCCAGGGATGGGGCAGCCACAGCTTCTCTGGGCAACCTGTGCCAGTGCTTTAGTACCTCTAAGCCATGATTCTATGTGAAGATCAGACTTGCAGAGGCTTCAACAGGAGCTCGCAACACCCGGCTGAGGGTGCAGGACCCGGGATGGGGGAGGAGGGAGTTGTACCCCGGCTCACCCCGGACGGGCGGGGACCGCTCCCGACCGCACCTGCCCTCGGAGGGGAAGGAGGAGAAGGAGGGGAGCGCCAAGGGAGCGGGGAGGGACCCGGCGGAGCTGCTGCTCCATCCCCGCTGCCAGACCCGCCGGCCCCGGCCCCCACCCACCGACCCCCTTCCCGGGGCATCCCGGCCCGGCCCGGCCCCTCTGTCCCAGTGTCCCCCTTACCTCCCCCAGCCCGCTCCGGCCGCGGCCCCGCTCCGTGTGACAGCGCCCGGCGCTTTCGCTTTCCCTTTCCCGGGGAAGGAGGGGCGGCCCTGCTCCCGGCCGGCCCCGGGGAAGGGGCTGGGGGAGCCGGGGCGGGGGAGCCCGGGGGGACCGGCCCGGGGCGGGGGGAGCCGGGGCAGAGCCGCCTGCCCAGCCCGCAGCGGGTGCATCCCCGGGCCGGAGGGATGCTGCCCTCACCTGCAGGACAGGTGCAGAGGAGCTTCAGCGGCACCCGCAGCACCGCAGGGCTCTGACAGGCGTGCAGATTTGCTACCGGGGCTCTTGGTTCACTGCTGGGCTTGGCAGTGCCGGGCTAGCGGCTGGACGCGATGATTTCAGAGGGCATGTCCCACCTGAAGGATTCTGTGTAGCACCCCGTAGCTCCCACGCGGTGATTTGTCTCTTCAAGTGGAAGCGCTTGGGATAATGGGAGGGACTTTCCTCGTGGGAAAGCAGTCCGGTAACAGGAGAGCTCTCTCGGAGCCAACCCAACTGTGAGCAGCAGCTCCATGGACGCTGATGGCTTGAATAAAGCTATTGGAGCACCAAGAGTTCTGATGGCCAAGGACATTTAATGAATAAATCAAAAGGAAATTAACTTGGTCCACCCCAGGGGAAAAGAACCCTCCAGATGGTCACAATTAAGATGCTTCAGATATTCTGGCTCTAGCCAGGATCCGACAGAGAGCAAGCTTCCCAACACCGACACAGGCAAGGGGAGAAGAGCTGGGGCTCTCAGGAGCACTTGGCAGGAAGGAGGAACTGCCCCAGCTGGTCTGCCTTGCCCCTCCTGCACAGCTGCTTGCTCCAAGAGGCAGCTGCTGCTATCAGGAATTCTCACTCCCTGACCGAAGGTTTTCAAGGTATTTTCTTTAGAAACTTAATCAGTTACCTGGTGTTCTTGGGCAGCTGCTGATTATCAGTCATATTATTTACCTTGCCTCCAAGTAAAGCTGAGGATCCCTGCAGTTTGTCAGGAAGCAGGCAGAGGCAAGTGATGGAGGGAAGGCCTCCCTGCAGCTAAGGACATCCATCTCCAGAAACTACTGGCTCTACAATGACTCCAGATCTAAAAAAGCCACAGGGCAGAAGCTGCTAAAAGCACTGGAGGTATTACCTGAAACCACAGACTAGTTTGGGGTTGGAAGACACCTTGAAGATCATCTTGTTTCAACCCCTGCAGGGACACCTTCCACCAGCCCAGGTTGCTCCAAGGCTTGTCCAACCTGGCCTTGGACACCTCCAGGGATGGGGCAGCCACAGCTTCTCATTCCTTGTCCCCAGTCCCTCTCCAGCTCTCCTGGAGCCCCTTTAGGCCCTGCAAGGAGCTCTCAGGTCTCTCTGGAGCTTTCTCTTCTCCAGGTGAACCCCCCAGCTCTCCCAGCCTGGCTCCAGAGCAGAGGGGCTCCAGCCCTGGGAGCATCTGTGGCCTCCTCTGAGTTTGCTCCATGTCCTGAGGTTGGACGCCAGAGCTGGAGGCAGCTCTGCAGGTTGGGTCTGACAAGAGCAGAGGAGCAGAATCCCCTCCTTCAACCTGCTGGTCATGCATCTTAAAAAGGGCTTGGTTTTTGTTTTGTTTTTTTGTTTTGTGAGGAATGGGAACAGCAAGAGGAGGGCTCAGGCTGGAATCCCAGCAGCACATCTGGATTGCACAAGGGCTGCTGGGCTCCCTGGGGCTGCAGGACTGTTGCTATTTGGGTGTACACAGTGACTCCTTCCACCAAGATACAGTACACCACCAGCCCAAGAGATCTCAGACTGGCTGGTAAACCTCACACCAACAGCCTTCAAGACGTTCTAGGACATATTGCTAAACATGAAGATGTTAAAAAAAAAAGGCACTTCATTTTAAAGATAATTTCAGATATGATTTTATTCTGAATTTTACAAATAACAAGCATTTCTCTATAAAAAACTAGGGTAAGAATTAATGTAGTTACAGCTAGGAATATTTACATTCTTAGAAGAAATTTATATACCTTTCTATGTACAAGGCTGTGTTCATTACTGGTTTAGAGTTCTCCCAAAAGCATCTCTCAGTAAGGCTTGATGGTGCATGGGCTGATTCTATGCTTCAAGAAAATAATTTACAACTGCCAGGACTAAGGTTCTATTCTACAAATACTGAAATAGGTATTGCAGTCCAACTCCCCGGGCAATGCAGCCCCTCCCTGAACAGCCCCTCCTCCTCCCCACAGCGGTCACTTGGAAAGGGGGGAGGAGTTCACACATCTGCACAGAAATAGTGTCAGAAGTCAGCCAAAGTTGCCCGATTCTGGAAGCTGAAATACTAAACGATGCTCGTGGGAGCATTACATTCACTGTCAGAAGAGTCAGAGATTCTAATGAATACTGCCTGTGGAGCACAAACATCCCGGCACGCTGTGGTACCCTCTGAGTTAACAGCCTTTCCACTTGCAGGCAAAGAAGCCAAAGTCACAGGAGTATCTGAGGTGCCCAAGGGGATGACAGAAGTCATCCTGAGAGCTGGAAAGGAGGGGATCCTCGTTCCCAACTCAGGGCATGCTTCCCCCGGTGAAGGTACTGCAGTGGGCACTGTTCTCTGCCTGAGCAGGTAACTGGGTAACCTGTTCTGCTGCTGGGACAGCTCACAGGCAGCCCAGCCACAGCAGTGCTCAGGCCAGGGTTAGTCTGAACCTCAGAGTCTGCTGCATCTTCCTCCACAACACAAGGAGCTCTCAGGTTTATCACAGCTCCTCTTGCAAAGGTAAATTGTGTGCCCTACTCCTGCAGGTACATCCACAGCCAGGCTGTGCTGCAGATCTGACCTGCTGCCAGCACTGACACCACTCCAAGATGTGCCCACGACTGGATCAGCTCCTTTCATCTACATCTTGTTTGCAGGGATCAGATCACCTACCTATATAAAACAGTCCCTCCATTTCTTTCTGAGATCCCTGCTATCTGGATTCCACCTGCCCACTGGAACAAGATCCTTGTTTTAGACATAAACTTGAAAAGAGAAGGCTGAAACAGTGAACACATAATAACCCAGTCAGCTATTTTAAATATGTTCTACATTTCTGACTCAGACTTCATGTTTTTAAAAACATGAGCAAGGGAAAACCCCTCTTTTTTTGACACAAAGCGATTGCCACTGAGTTTTGTAGGGTTAGTCATGACTAATGGGAAATTCCCCAATTTGTCTGGAGTTAGAAAAACAAACCAAACTAACAATAACAACAAAAAAACCCACACAGAACTTCTTTAGTAAACATCAGAATATTTAAATATTCAAGAAAAAAAGTCTCTCTTTGAAGGCACAAACTTGGATAAAGCAGTGGGTAAGAAATTACAGCTAAATCAGATGTTAAACAGACACTGGAACTTCCAGACTAACTCCTGTATCAGGCAGGCACATATCTTACAGTTTAGGATATCTTCTGAAACTGTTTACAGGAAGAGCCTTATGGGACACGGGTGTTTACACTGGCAAATTCATTACAAGGAAGTTGCAGCTAAATGTGTTTTGCCTCAGATTCCTGTGGTTATCAGATCATTCTACAACACATACAAAAGAAGCTGCTTCTCAGCCTTACAGCTCCTAGACAAGGTCTACAAAGAAAAATACCTGTACCAAGTTTGACAACATACTCTTTTGTGTCTGCAATGAATATTGCAAAAGAAGTGTAAGCCTGCCAGAACAGGTCACGTTTTTGGGAAGGGGGACTGGCTGTTACAGGCACTCTCCTAACATGTATTTGCCCATGTCAAGGCTGTTCTGTGATGGGCAGCGGGGCTTGTAAAATCCAGATTCTCAATTTTGGCACGAGCCTCAGATCACACACAGCATTTTAAACCTCCTGCCCAGGGCCTGTCAACCCACAAACAGGAGTGACACTGAACCTGCCCCAACCTTCAGCTTTCTTTCCTTGGAAAAGTTGACATACAACAAAATTATTTTCCCCCACATCATTCTCTGACCCAGTGACATCGGCCAGCTTCCTGCTGCATCCAGAAACCAAAATCCTAAACAAAGAGGTGAAAAAATGCAGGAAAAGTGGAGCAAATCCTCGAGCTCAAGATACTGGCAGGGAGAGTTTAACCAAACCAAAGCACTACAGTCTGGACAGCGCCTTCTACTTTCTTGTTCCTGTGACAAGCAGTCCAAGGCACGCATCAGTCCCACAGCCTGTTACCAAGACAGGATTTGGGATATTGGTTCACCAAAGACTGGAATCAGCCAATGCCACCTACATATTTAAACACCACAGGAAAATGCACAACTTCCCCAGCCATCTGCTGCAGGAGAGTAAGGCCCCCGACAGCTTTGGCTACAAAGATTTAGGCTGTTTATTAAGTCTCTACAAGACAGAACAAAATACAAGTGCCACAAGACAGAAACCTTTCACCACTCACATCTGTCACACCAGAACCAGCACAGCACAAATGTGTAAGTGTACATTGTGTATTTAGAGAAACACAGGTAATGCCAAGGGCACTTCCACAACCTCTTGGCAGATTTTCAACAAGATTTGTGGGTTTGTTGGGGGTTTTTTTAAACAATTTTAAAGCAATTCACTGATTACACAAGTTAAGTGCAACAACAGACCTCACAGCAATCACACAGGTGATACTTAAGGATTGAGAACCAGTGGTCAGAAATATGTTCTGTTTTGTTCTCAGTACACTCCTCCATGAGGTCAGTGCAGTGGCCTAATTAACACAATAATTTATGACTAAATATATTAATTGTGTGCGTGTACATGCACCAGTGGGAAAAGCAAGAACAAAGACAGGAGAATCATTTCCATCATCCAAATTGCACAGAGAACGTTAAAACAATTTACACATAAAACTTTCACCACAAAAACTAACACCACTCCCTCTACACACAGGTGAAACCTTTTGCATTATTTAGAATAAATCCAGCCTGGAAACAGGCCACATCCAAGCTCAGATGTAAACAAGAAGGTACAGTTGAAATCCAGCATTGGAATCAAGTGAATTTTGTGAGCAAAACTTCAGTGCTAAATAGTTTGTGCAAGACAATCCTTTCAGTCGATGCTGAGTTAAAACCTATCAAGTTAGAATTAACTCTCAGAATCTTTCTTTGCATCTTTCTGAATTTGGTAACAAATTCAGCATGTACAAAGTCACTTGGGTAAGATCAGAGAGAGGCACGTTCTCATAGCCTTCACACAATAAATAAGTTTCCTGTATAGAGACAGAAGTCAAGGAATCAAAAGCAATGAGCAGCTTTTTCTGGCAATTTTTACTTCTTGACGTGCATTAGCTCTGGAGAAGGTTCACTGAGGGACCCAGGCACCCTGCCAGCCCTTGAACTCATTTTCAAGTATCTCTCAGCTGAACTATACACATAAAGTGACACAGGACTGATCAGGTACTGCTCCATGGTACTGCTGATGAGCACAGCTGTGGCTGAAACATCTCACTGAAGGCTACGCAGTGTTTATGTTCATATAAAAAGAGAACTTACAGAACACAGTGCTTAAATTAATAAATAAGGTTAAAATTGCAGGAAACAAAGTGTTGCCACTAGCCCTTTCTAGAATGAGTTTTAGAAGGAAAGTCCATTTAACTTTCAGTCCACCAGGAAGGACACAGGAGTTCCATCAAAATGCTGTGCTTTTAAGGATCTCTGGATTCTCTTCTTCCTCCTTGGAATCCCTTGTGCTACTAGATGGAGGCCTGTATTCTAACCTGGGGGTGGGAAAAAGAAAGAAAAAACAAAATAACTTTAAAAATAGATGAGTGGATTGGAAGAAAAATCAGATTTCTGTTTTGACATTACAGCTTCCTAATTTTAATATCCTGTTGACTTTAGTTGGACAGGTCCCTTTCCTGCACCCCATCTGTGTTGATGTGACATCTTAACCAGAGCCGTGGTGAAAGGCCAAAAACTCAATGCCTTTTTAGGTCAGATGAATTAAATTGGAAGAGTTCAGCTCTTCCCCAGCTTGTAAGACTTTCAGAACCTAAAATGATTGTAACCCACAATGTGTCCCTAAACCTTGATAAAGCAACACATTTTTGAGGTGCATCCCTCAGATGTACTTTTAAAAGCTATCAGAGTAAAATGATAAATTTAGAGCTGAGAGATGCACATACAAACACACACACTTGGAAAGAGGGACCAGGATTCCAGGCAACCTCTTGTATCTTCAACAGAGCACTTACCTGTGCTGCCAAAACCAGCCCCTCTCTCTGCCCACAGCCAGGCAAGTGCCCTCCTCAGAGCAGAGCAGTGCCAAGGTCAGGGTGATACTCACCCTTTCACCAGCAGCATTTGGTCAATGGTGTCAGGAAGGGGCATCCCATAGCTTTCAGGCAGAAATAGTGTCAGAATTCCTGACAGCACAGTCAGGCTCCCCATCAGGATGTAAGGCAGGAATCGATCGTAGGCACCTGGCAGAACACAACAAAGGGAAAGCAGAAAGGCATCAGCTCTGAGTCTGATAACTGCCCACAGAAGTTGTGGCTGCCTCACCCCTGGGAGTGTCCAAGGCCAGGCTGGACAGGGCTTGGAGCCACCTGGGCTGGTGGAAGGTGTCCCTGCCTGTGGCAGGGGGTGGAACAAGATGATCTTTAATGTCCTTCCACTCTGTGGTTCTGTGATAAGGTCTGTACCGAGGTACAGGGCTTCACCCGTGCAAGACTTGTGCTCTCAGCAAAAACCAACCCAAGCAAGCCCCACCACAGCCTGACATGCAGAGGGGATGTTGTTGTACATGGAATTTGAGGAACTGGAGGGAGTGGGGAGCAGTAGCTGTAGGAGCTGTCCCTGCTGTGGGTCTCTGGAGCATCTCCGGAGCAGAGCAGTTCACTCACCGAGGTAAACGAAGTAAGGGGAGAGGATGCTGCCCAGCCTGGAGGCCATGGAACTCGCTCCAACCCCCATGTTCCTCACCACTGTTGGGTAGAGCTCAGCCGTGTAAACATAGACCATTGAAAAGGCTGATGTGATTCCAAACTTGCCCACCATCACCAGCAGAATAGACAGAGCACGGAGATCTGAAATCAGAGCACAAGTAAGGACTTAATAAAGCTCTGGCAGTTCATGGTATCCCTTCATTCCTTCGTGTTTGTGTAACTCCTGCCTAATTAACTCCAGCATCTGGTGTTTTTTTTTCCCACAAACATAAGCAATGTTCTTTTTTAATTTTTTCTTCTATGAATTCCTAGGAATCAACATTTTCATTTTCTTTTGAGCACAGGGCTTCCTGCCAAGTGAAAAATAAGGAGAACAGAGCAAGAACTGTTGAGGCCCTTTCAGATTTCAGGGGCCAGATCTCTGCTACTGCAAACAATGCAATTTATCCCTTTTTAATAAAATGAAACACTTGAAACAAGTTATTTTTGGTTTCCTGCTCTGGTTTCTCATTAGCATTCTTAGCTACAAGCCAATACTTTATTATAGGAAGTTGGGTTGACTTTAGCTGGGACATTTAGATTTGAAAATCAAACCAGATTGTATCAGTGTTGTCCAATTGACTCATAGGACAGGAAGAAAAAGAGAATGCAGCACACATATTACCTGTATAAAATAAGCAAGGCAGTTGTTGCACATTCTCTTTAGTATACTCTTTGATTTGTAAACAAGTCCTAGGCAACAACACCCTCCTTATATTGATTCCATAACCCCATTGATCTGACTGGCCTAAAGATACATATGCTTTGAGATCTAGTAAATGTTACCTGGCCCTCCTTTCCAGGTGCCACACATTATTTAAGCTATCAACACTAATTCAGTCAAGCATCTCTGCTTATCCAAAATGCTTCCACAATGACTCCACTGAATGTAACTCTTTAAACAAGCCCTGAAGTCATCAACAGCAGTTTGGGAAGTGAGTTCTGCAGCCTCTTGGCAATGTCTCTGACTAAACTCTGATCAGTCTAGCCTTGGTTTCACACCTGGACCTTACCAGGACACCCTGCCAGGGATGTACTTCAGAGGCAAAACTGGCCTACCACGCTAATCCCAACAGATCACACAGCCAGTGACCCACCTTCCAAACTGTATCTGAATGACACGCTGTGCGGAGCTGCTCGTGCAGCAGCACTGAGAACCACGGCAGAGGGGCACAGATGGGACACAATATCTGTGTTTAGTCCCCTCAGGACACCGCTCCTCCACACACACCCAGCGCCCAGCGCCGCACGTCCCCTGCCATACATATGTGAGATGAACTAAGGGTTCCATACGTGAGGGCACGAGCTGGATGAAGAGCAGCACGCAGCCTCCCAAGAACAACGCGGCAGCCATCGAGTACCGTCGGGGCAGGTTGCGCAGCAGCACCCAGGAGATGACGTAGGCGGGCACCTCGATCACGGCCGACAGGAAGCAGTTCACGTACACGTCCCCGTGCAGGTTGGGCGTGTCGAGGGACAGGCCGAAATAGCCAACGGAGATTATCATCCTGCGAGGAACAGCAACGGCATCAGGCAAACCTCACCTGTCCCAGGGGCTGCCAGGAACCTCCTCCACATCCCCGCCAAGCACAGGGATGGCTGTGCAAGGCAAATTCACCTGACGCTCATTCACCTCTGGAGCAGCTGGAAGTGCTGACTTCAGACACAGCACGTTAACAATTAAACTGTGCTGATGCTTTTGATCTCTCAAGTTGCTCTTGAAGTCAAAGAATAAAATGCACTACGCTGGGAGGTAAGTGATGATCATTCACACTGCAGTGGTGCAGCAGCTGTCACTACTAGTAGCTATAGCTTTAGACTGAAAGTTTGGGCTACTGAATTTTGCTGTTGCTGAGGCCTACAGCAGCTTTCCATGATGTTTACCAGGGAGCTCTGGGTGCAGAGCATTGTTTCTGGGTCATCACCCTCCATGCTTTGTGTATAAAGTCAGAGAGGAGGAGTGTGGCAGACCCAGCATCCTGGGATTTTCCCTGCCATGCCCCAAGCTGGCTGGGCAGCATCCCAATCATGTTGGCCTGGGCTGGTCAGTGCAGCAGGACAGACTTTGGTGGCTGGAGCACTGACATCTGAACTGTGCCACTGCCAGATGAGAGCTGGCTTCTATGTGATCTGGGGAAACACAACTGGCCTTGAAGACAAACCCTGTTGTGTCTTGGGAGATGTTGGGAAGAGCAGATTAAGCTTCACCGACAAGTATAACGTGGTAAACAAGGAACAGGCACTGCATCAGGACATGTGCAGGTGCAATGGTGAGGCACAGAGCACTCAGCACTTCATCTCCTTCAGCACCTTCAGAACCCAGAGCAAAACCACTGCACAGCACCAGTGGGTCACGGACAGAAGATCAGCTCTTCACCTCCTCACTGCAAATGGGAAGAGCCTTCATGGTCCAGCTGCTTAAAATAAAGTCTCTTAGTGTACCTGGGAGGGTATGAGGTCACAGAGTGACCCCACTGCTGTGGTGCCCTGCCCCAAAGCCATTCTTCTCAGAAGTAGTTCTGCAGTGTTTTTCTCACCACAGCCCAACACACCCACCCTGCTCTCCTTGGAGTTATTTTTATACACAATAAACTGTGATGCTGGAATTCCCTGTTGGTAGCAGTTTGCCTTAGCTTATCACACTGGCAAACCTTGACACAGTTATATACTCTGCAGGAAAACTTTAGTGGTATTTACACATCCCAGAGTGCCAAGGAGCTGAACTTCCTCCTGCAAAGGGAATAGTTTAAAGGCCTGTTACTCACTCAAAATTAACAAAACCCTCAGCACTATGTAAAGGTGCCACAGTGCTGGCTGTGACCACCCCCTTGTGCAGACCTTTTCTGTAAGCACTGTCAGTTCATAATGCACAATATACTGTCAGTATACCACGAGCTGGAAAACAGTGCTGTGAGCCAGCACAAAATGCCTCATATTTTGGGAAAGAATTAAAAGTAGGTTAGGTAACTCACACACAAGCTAGAATAGTGAAACAATTCCCCAAGCCAAGTGAATACTTGTCTGTGAGAGGAGGTAAGATTGTGCAAGTCAGCTGCACGTGTCTGACTCTTCCTGCCTATCTTAAAACTTCATTTATGATGTGGCAAAAAGCCCTTCAGCCTGGGTTACTGAATGCAGTAGAATGGATTACACACACACTGCCATGTCACTGTTGCTCTCAGCAGCTTCATCCTACCAGAAACGCTGTTCCAACAGGTTTTGCATTTGATTTCTACAACCACACAGGCAAAACTGGCTGTGCCCAGGGATTACTGCTCTGCTCCAAGCAGATTAGGAGTAGGGCAGTCTCACTTTCAATTAAAGGTGAGAGTCAGTGACTGCACTTGGAGGCAGGGCATTATATAGACATTGTATTGACATTTCTGCAGAGAACCAACATTATTTTTCTCCTTGAGCTGTTTTTTTGCACAAGTTCTTTCCTTGCTGTGTTTGTAACATTGTGCTTGGTGATGGGCCAGAGAATCTGGCTTAAATATTAGCCAAGTCAGTCCTTTGACCCAAAATGCCACATCGACTTGTATGTGCTGGCAGGTCAGTGGACTGGACTCCAAGGCTCTGCCTCATTAAGGCCCAGGAATGTTCCTCAAAAAGGCAGCAAACAGACTCAGCTGGCTCCAAAGCACTTGAGGTACCTTCTTGGTTATGTCACTGGGTACATGCAGTAATTACACCTCACTGGTACAGCCTCTGGCCCGCTACAGGTTATCCTCTCTGTTTTCAAGGTATCTAGTGAAGGAAAATAACCAGCATTTAATGCCACATGAAGTATGGCTTCAGCTAGTAAAAACCACGCTGAAGATGGCAGGTGGACAGAGCAGACAGCAGGAAAGTGCAGGGAAATCTCAAATCAGAACTTCAAAGGCAGCTTTATCCCTCTAAGAAGCAATACAAAAGGGATGGAAAGCATCATGTTCAGACCCCTGGACAGAAGTTCTCTGGGGTGGTAGGACATGACTCATTCCTCTAAAAGACTCTGTTACAGTGAGAAGAGCATTCCCCAAGACCCAGGATCAGGCAGGATTCCCACACCTCATTGCCAGCTGATCCAGCTCCTGCTCAGTTCAGGATATGCCTGACTACTTCAGAAAGAAACAACAGTCCAGAGGTGTTTCTACACTGCCACTGGAGAACCTACGTAACCACAACTTTGTTGTTTCAGCCAGCAAGTCATTGATTTTTGAGCTGGTTTTGTTCCTATTTCTTCACAATACCTTAGTGTTTAAAGGTTCATACTCCTGAATCACACTTGCTTACCACAGAAGCACTGACATAATAGTGATGGTTAAAATATTTCGGGTTCTCATTAGATCCAAAATGGTGTATGTCTGCTGCTTCTGGGAATTCACATCTTGCAGCTGTAAAAAAGCAAACAACAAACAAAACATTGGAACTTTAACTTCCTGCAAAAATAATTATTATGAAAAGAAGTCCCTCCCCAACTTATACCTCAGTATTTTGACATGCTGAATAGGTGCCTCACTTTTAATAAAACACATCAAACTGTAAGAGCCTGTGAAAGTAGAAGGTTCTCCTTCATTGAAAGTCACTTAGAATTTAAGACTGAAACTCTTCACTCTCATGACCAGTGACAGGGCTGGAGCTGTGCCAGGGCAGGCTCAGGTTGGATCTCAGGGAAAGGTTCTTCCCCCAGAGGGTGGTTGGCACTGAACAGGCTCCCCAGGGCACTGGGCACAGCCCCAAGGCTGCCAGAGCTCCAGGAGGGTTGGGATGATCCTCTGGGGCACAGGGGGACTCTTGGGATGTGCCTGTGCAGGGCTGAGGGTTGGACTGGATGATTCCTGTGGGTCCCTCCCAGCTCAGCATATCCTGGGATTCTGTGATTTTATAGCAATCATCTTCTCTGCCTGAGGCTTCACAAAGCAACAGCTTTTTGTTGCTTGAATTACAAAGCATTAAGTCATGATTCATATGGCACTGCTGACACAGTTCTAATGTCCAGTTTTGAGCACTGCCCCTTGAGAATCAGGCAGATCAACTGCACTCAGACAAGAAGAGAGCAACGGGGATGGTGAGACATTGGAAAAAAGGAGCACAGAATGGTCTTTAAAGACCAGCAAATAAAGAGATAAACTGTCCTCTATGTCTACTGCAGATGTTGCAACAAATAACAAGATTAAACCACAGCAGGACAGAGATAGTAAATGACTGCTCATATTGGACCTAACAGCAGTGTATTAAAACTGAGACAAACTGGCTAATGAGCTGAAGAGTGCCCATCATTATCTAGCCTGTTTTTGAGATCATCTTCTAAGAACATAAACAAAAAGACAACAAACTTCTCCTTTCCCCATGAAACTTTCCAGCTCTTCAACATAAAACCACTTCTATGTAAACAATGCAAGGATATTCATCCATGAAGCATGAGAACAATTTTTGTCCTTGGTAAGATTGTAAAATAGGGAAGAATTAATTTTTTTTAATTAGGACTTTTATTTAGACCCTTAAGAAGGGGGACCAAGGAAGAGATTTTTCAGAATATGGAAAACAGGATTTAAGAGGACAAATTCCATCAACTCTGATAAAGCAACATGGACTTTGTGTAGCCCCTGCAGTCAGGCAAAAATTCTCTCTAAGTGATAGTCGAATCTGAAGATCTGGATGATGAAGTAGCAGTCTGGTACAAGTCAAATTTCAGCCTATTTGCTTTCATAAATCCCATTTTTTTACAAAAAGCAAACAGTTCTTTACCTTTGATAGCTTTCACTCTGCCTGAAGCCAAACTTGCAGTCACTCACAGCCCTTTCTCATAAATCACATGATCTTCCCTAAGCACTCCCCCATTTCACCACTATCTGCTGCCAAGAAACAAGAACACCAGAAAAAAAAAAAAAAAAAAAAAGAGAGAAACCCCAAGCAAACCACAAAACAAAACCAGGAACAGTAAAATTTGGAGTCAGTTGACAAGGAAAAGGGACCCTGCCTTTTAAGAGCTGGATAAACAGACAACACAATCCTTATCAGGACAGGCTAGGACAAGAAGCGATGAGAAAGGTAGGGAAGGCAAAATGGTGGTTTGAAATTAAACCTATCATCCAAACACTTGAATCCCCTCCTGGGGGATAATTCAACCAACCAGGCCCTATTTGTGCTCTGCAGCTGGTTTGTGACCAGTCACCTGCTGGACCCCAAGCAGCTTGAGACCTCTGGAGTCCAAACTGTGCTCTGCAGCTGGGTGGGTCTGAGGGACACCCCAAACACGAGCTTGGGCTGCTCCATCCCAAACTCACATTCCAAATGCACAGGGGCAAAGGGCCAGCCAGAATTCTGAGAGTCTCTCTGCAGCAGAAACCCTCCCAAACCCTCTAGGGCTGTGAGCCTTCTGCTGTCCAGCCCTTCAGAAAGCAGACACCAGAACAGCATAGACAGACCCCTGAGGAAGAGAAGTTTTGCACAGAACTTTTGGCCACAGCACCACTTTTACCTAAAAAAGTAAAGAGATGGGCAGTTCTGCATTTAAGCAGCACCTGTTCATTGAGCTCGTTTTCCTTTGCTTGTCAGAATGTTAATATGTGTTTTTGAAAGCTGATGTGCAATGATTTACCTGTAAATAAGCATCACATACTCCAGCCCACACTGCTGCAAAGTCAGCATTTCCCCTTGTCCAGTGTTTCCTAAGACAACATCCCTACTCTTGCCCCTGCTTTCTGCTGCTTCCCAATCCAGCCCCGTTCAGAGACAGCAAACAGAGCAGTGCTTCTTTCTAAGAATGAGACAGAGAGGATTCCAGGAACAGTGACCTTAGGCACATGTTGGAGCCAGAGCTTATTTTCTGTTCTCCTGATGCAGTGCTGGCAATGCAAGAGTTTTCAAGGCTTTCGTGAGTAGGAAGAAGAAAAGAAAGGAAAAAGATGTGTTCTAATGAAAATCCAGGAAAAAAGCTACCATAAGAAGGTCAGGATTAGTCCTGTGTTAAACTTCTATAGAATGATATTACTGACTGAATAAGCAAAGAGTCTGTTTGGCACAAGTATTTAGATCACTAGACTACAGGTACCTCAAATTTATTACCTTCCCCCCCCAAAAATAGAGTTTAAAAGGAAAAAGGTGGCTGTAAACTGGATCAAAAGATGTTTGCATTAGAATGCATGGTGGCATCCCTATGTGAATGGGACAGCAAAGGCTTTGCAAATCTCAATGAAGAAGGGAAAGGGCATTCTGCTTTTCAGCAGAAAAGGATGATCTTTCACCCATTTGAGAAGCACATAATACAGTGCAGGAACAACTCCCTTCATCTGCCTGGAAATGAATCCCTTTACACAGAGTCCAGCAAACAACTGGACTGCTAAATGGATCTTACCTCACTAGGGTCAAGTATGACATCTGGGGCTGTAATGCCATTAGTTTTTGCAGCTTTTCGGAGGATGTCTTCTGCCTCCTGAAACCTTCCCTGGGAGATCAACCACCGGGGAGACTCTGGAATGACCCTGCAGAGAAGGTTCAGAATAACAAGGCTGCAGTTCCACAGAAAGCACTGCTGCAGGCACCAACACACATTGTTCCAGGCAAGATCTCAAAACATGCCACATCTTGCAGGAATTAGTGCAGTGACAACAGAAATCAGATGTACAGGAGCAGGCTAGCCTACTGAACAAGAACATGCCTTTATGGATTTCAGAAGCACTGCAGGAATTAGCAATGATTCAGAAAAAAGAGCAATACAAACATTCAAAGTATGGGAAAACAGTTCAATTAAAGATAATTCAGAAATGTGAACATACAAGCAGCACGCTGTACATTAAGAAGCATATCCTTAGAAAATAACACACATAAACTTAGTAACTATAAATCCTGTCACAGAAAGGCAAGTCAGAGCAGGATTCACCAGTCATTCAACTGTGTAAGAACCTGGATGGAATCACAAACACAACCACAAGTGTAAGTGAAGGAACACCACCACCACGTGGACTGTTTCAGCTTTACATGCCATCCAAAAGCAGTATTTTATCAACTAGGGAAGAAAACATGGAAGTCTCACAGATGTGCAAGTACTGTTTTGTAGTTTGTCACATCTATGTCACCCTACAGTGCCCAGCTTCCCAGAACAACCGGTTTATCCTTCTGCCCTCAGTTCAGACCACAGCCCATGGATTTCAGCTGGTGCACAGGATGAGTTTTACTGACTTTTTTTTTCTTTGCATGTGCAACACTTAATTTTATAGAAGCCTACAGAAAGTGAAGAGCAGGCTTTTTGGGGCATCGGTCAGATCACACACAAAGCCATGGACTGACAGCAAAATGACTGGGAGGGGAAAGGACACAACATCCATTCTTCACCTACCCGTTCCTGAATTTCACTGGCTTGGAGTCTGGCTCCTAAAAATCTGCAGGCAGGGCCTTACAGAGAGTGAAGTGCTGTAAGCCCACGATACTCACCACCAGAGCGGGATGCAGAGCAGCCCGGGCAGGGTGAGCGCCAGCAGCAGCATCCGCCAGGCTCTGATGAAGTAGGCGAAGAGGGGCAGCAACATGTAGCCAAAGGCATAGAATATGCACACCCCCAGGGTGCAGAACACCACACGGATTGATTTGCCAAGGATTTCTGTGCCTGTTCAAAACAGCAGAGTGAAGAATAGGATTTTAACTTGATAGCAACCAAATAAGCTAACAGAGGTACCCCTAGCAAGGGGCTTTGTGAAAGGCACCACTCTGGGGAGCTGCAGGGCAGAGCACTCTGCCATCCAGCTCCAGAGGCACCACAGAGCTGCCTCGTGCAGTGAGCCTGCATCAACTGAGGTCATTCTGTGTATAAAACAAAGAGAACCGGGCCACATTGTATTTCTGCAGCTCATATTTCTATAATTTTATCTTTTTAGAATCTCACATTTTACTTGAGGAACTGAAACCACCTAAAACACACTCTCAACAGTAAACCATAGCTTGATCACCACAGCATCCTCTACAGCTTTTGGACAGTGACCAGCTTCTTTAAAGAATAATTTGAAGGTTCCCAACCTGAATCACCTCCTAAAAGACTATTTAGCCAAAAAACCTCAGTCTTTTTGGGTACACATATGGAATTCTTATTGATCACTAACAAAGGCCAGGCTACTGGCAGGGGAATTAAATGCACAAACAGGAGCTGACAACCCCCCTGAAATGTTTAGGGACCTTCAAATCAGGAGACATAGAAAGAAAGCTGATCTTCCCTGTTTCCATGGAAATCAAAGAAGATTCCAGCAGTTGCAGGAGGCTGTGTGCAGTGAGGTCAGCCAAGCACTGCTTTCACCCCTGAACTTGCCTTTCTTGGCCCAAAAGGAATTTCTTGTCACCATCTGGTACTTTGGACAGTGAGGTCACTGTAAATAACAGTAATTCTTTTTAAATCTCATATTCATAAGGTAATTCCCATTACCAAATATGGTCTCAGTCAACTTGAGAGTATATGAAGCAAATATCATGATGACATTTATATTTTTACTATAGGCTGTTTAAAGGAGACTTTATAAAAATGACTGGTTTTGTTCTTTTGCAAGTTTTTTAGTCAAATATGTATTTAGGCCCCAAAACTGACAAAAGAAATCCCTGAAAAATCATAGAATCACATAGAATGGTGTGGGTTGAAAGAGACCTTGAAGATCATCTAGTTCCAACCCCTAAAAAAATCACATCTCACAGGTTTTATGCCTCCACCTTGGAGATGGACTTTGTTTCAAATAATCAGTTTCTGGGGTTTTGACTCTTTCAGGATGGCAAACCACAGAATTAATTCAAATTGCACCTCTATCTACTGGAAACTTCCAAGGAGATGACAAATTATCCATGCATGGTGAGGCCACACTCTTAACAGTGTTGCTTGGCAAAACAAATCAACCCTAAGCCAGTACCGAAAAGGAGCAGGAAAAGCACAAGATGAAAGAACACATACTGTGCCCAGCAGGACTTTCATACCAAGAACAAATGCTGCCACGTAGTTAGAGATCTGTCCCATGCCAACCAGCACAAACAACACTGAAAACATCTCCCAGCTGGTAGAGAAGACCTGTATGAAGCTGAAGCCAGTCTGCATTGCCAGAGTTGCAAACAGCACATTCTTCCTGCCAAACCTTCCACGGACAGATTAAAAAAAAGAAAGAAAAGAGAAAAAAAAAAAAAAAAGACATGATTATACAACATCATGAATGAAATCTTCAGAAGCAGAAAAGTAAGTTTACTTGTAAGCATATTTAGGGAGATAGAAAACTTCTGCAAAAAGCAGAGGTTCAGGAAATGTGACACAGGCACAACTGTTCTAAATACATTAAAAAAAAAAAATCACTGGCCAAGAGAAAGTGATATTCCAAGGGCTAGTTGTCTTTAACTATGTGCTGGAACACTATTCCTTTCTTACTGATAGGATGGGCAGGGCAACAAATCACCAGGAGCAAATTATTTAAAATGCAAGAGTATCCAAAGCTCCAAGGAGCACACAGTCCATGACATAGATCAGCATATTGAAAAAAAAAAACCAAAACAGAAAAGGATGGAAAGTCCCTGGAAGAGAGGTAAAACTCAGGTTTGCAAGATGCTACTAGCTGTCAGTGATCCCATGCTGCAATCTCCATTCCACGAGGTTTAAAAATGATCCAAACTGAGGGACTCTGGAAGGTCTATCAATGAAATATTATGAAAAAAAAAAAAGAAAAAACAAAGATAAAAGAAATTCAGCTAAAGTTAACTCATCAAGAGTCATTGCTAATGTCCTGGCCCAGGCAGCCCCACAGCACTGGGGCAGGACATGTGCTGAGTGCCAGTTCACACAACCCCACTTGGCCTGGAGCTCTCCAGCTGGTGCCTCGAGCCTCAGGAGGGTCCCAACGCCCTGAGAACAGATTCCCCAAAGAATTTTGTCCCTCTCCACACCTCAGGCTCGCTGCAGGCCTGGGGGCAGCAGAACACTGGACACAGCCTCCCTGGAGCTTCTCCAGGGGAGGAGGAGCCCCTGGCCGTGATGCTCCTGCCCCACAGGCTGCACCCATGGCCTCCTCTCCTGCACCCAGGGAGGATGTGTCCCCTCCTGCACCCAGGGAGGATGTGTCCCCTCCTGCACCCAGGGAGGATGTGTCCCCTCCTGCACCCAGGGAGGATGTGTCCCCTCCTGCACCCAGGCAGGATGTGTCCCCTCCTGCACCCAGGGAGGATGTGTCCCCACGGGAAGGAGCTGCAGAGGACACTCCTGGCAGCGTGAAGGTGGAAGCTCCTGGAGAGCAGCTCCTGAGTCACCTGCCAGGTGGTCACCATGGGAGACACTCAGCAGACAGGGAGCTCTTGGGAATGAAGCTCCTGAGCCTGGAAGCAGTGCCAGGATGAAGTGGTGGGAAACTTCCCCACAGGGAAGAGGGAAAACAAAAACTCTCCAAGTATCAGCAAATTAAAGGACCCCATATCGTTCTCTGGGAATCAGGAAGACACACGGTGCACTGCACAGCAAATCCCAGGGAGAGAATAAGAAAAACTGAGCTTTAAAAAAAAAACCCAAAAACCAAGCAACTGTCAACATCACAAAAATTAATGGTGTCTTCCCTTTTTTTAATGTTTGTACTAATGCACAAGAAAGCCTTGCTTCTCTGGAGTGCAGCTGAACAATGTTCATGCTTTGCAGCTTCCACAAATGCAGATCATTGGACTTAGATATGTATCTGATGAGGAGAAAGAGTTTTAAATTTGACTTAAAAAACCAAAGGAAAACAAGCCTCAGGTATCCCTCTGAACAGAGTCCAAAGTAAATAGGAGAGAATGTCACTGATCTGATTTTTCCAGTCAAAACTTATCTCCTACACCTGTTTTCTGGCATGAAACCAGTTTGCTCCAGAGCGATTTCACTGCAAATATAAAGAGATAAAGGTAACACCCAGCGATAATCTTTGTAACATTTTGTTCTAGTTCAGGACATTTCTCTACACACTCTGTGTAGACTCAGGTTAGACGGTCATGGAACAAAGATGTCAGGAGTTGCAGAAAGACACTTATAGGAGACTTGCCATACAAGAAGAGCCTACAAACCAGACTCAAACAGAGAGCCAGCAGCTCTGGTGTATATACTTTACTTGTCTGAGAGCTGTCCTGATATGAAAGATCCCAGCAGGACACCCACGAAAAACAGGGAGGTGCTCAGGGGTCCCTTCCAGTCGTTGTCACAGACGAGATTCCACTGCAGGGAGAGAGAACATGAAAGTCTTTTAATAAACAGGATTTCCCCTCCCTCCTAAATGTCTCGGCTGAGCTGGTTTTGGAAGGAGTGAGAACAGAATCACAGGATGGTGTGGGTGGGAAGGACCATAAAGCTCATCCAGTGCCACCCCTGCCATGGGCAGGGACAACTTCCACCAGCACAGGGTGCTCCAACCTGGCCTTGGACACTCCCAGGGATCCAGCGGCAGCCACAGCTTCTCTGGGCACCCTGTGCCAGGGCCTGCCCACCCTCCCAGGGAAAAATTCCTTCTCAATATCCCATCTAATTGTAATTCCCTGCATATAGCAATGTTCCATTAGAAACTCACATTCTTAATTTAGGAGAAACTGAACTACAGAAACAAGAATATACAAAGAAAAAGCCTCTGTTACATTTTAATATGATTTTGAGAGACAGGAGACTGTTCACTCTTCACTGGGAATCTAGCCAAACTCAATAAGAATTTTGAATAAAAATTGAAATATACACCAAACAAACCAAGATTTAAAACAACAACAACAACAAAACAACAAACAAACAAACAAGGAGAACAAAAGAAAATATTTATTGAATGAAGACTGCAATAGTTTCCAATCTCATACCCATTTCAGTCTGATGTTTTTGAAACAGCACTCATATTATTTTTCTATCTACACAAGGAGTTATTATTAAAAGAGTCTTAGTTTTATTTTGGTTATCTGGGGAAAAAATGTGTAAATATTAGAAGAAAGGACAAAACCCAGCAGGGATGACTCCACTCCTCCTCCACAGCTATGCTGTGACTGGAGGAGCTCCCAGAGCTCTCCCAGTCCTGCCCCACCCCAGCACCTGCTGCCAGAGGGCAGGTGCTGCAGCCCTGCAGGAGAGGAACTGGGAGGCAACCAATGCTTCTGATGGGAGGCCAAACCCTCAGGAGCTCAGTTATTCAAACAGCTCTCTCATCTGATATTTCAGGGATGGAAACTTTTAGGTTTTAATCTGCAGTAAAAAGGCTGAAATGAAAATATTTCCCCTGATCCCAAAAATTAATCCTTCTTGTCTCCCAATTACAAATAATTAAGCGCATTTTTTTGCAGTTTGTACTGGAACACCCCTCATGCTTTGATTTGCTCCACAAGCAATGCACTGCTGCGTGTCCCAGCTCCCCCCCAGCCCAGCCGTGGGGCTGCAGGTGGCAGTGCCGGTGTTTCACTGCCAGCCCCGTGCCCTCAGCACGGAACCTCTGAGCCCAGAGTCTCCCAGCCTGTCAGCAGTCACACTACAGCTCCATCCTACCTGTGGTTCAGGCTGGAGGATCACCAAAAGCTATGCACACAATGACCAACACCAGCACACAATGACCAGCACTGGCCTTCCACTCCAGATCCCCATATCAACACACAGCTGAGCCATCACTTATTCATGGACATCCAGTGTTCAGCGAGAACTGGGAACTGTTCCAGAGATGATCTATGGCCACTCACACAGCCTGCACTCTCATGGGCATTGGCAGAACTTTAGCTGCCAGCTCTTACACTAATTCATCTCCTCATCGTTATTTTTAAGGTCAAAATGTACCTTTTCCAATTTATAACTGCATTCAAGTAATATTCTAACCTCTCCATTGACAAATCTATTTGTGGTTCCATGTCTTAAAAATCTCTCCTTCTATCAGGCTTCATAACCCTCGATATTATTCCTGCACTTGCTCCCCAACCCTTTCCAGCCTCACAGTACCTGAAGCTCAGGCCCCAGCACTCAACACAGTGCTCCAGCACATCCCACAGTGCCACCAGTCAGGCATCATTATACAGGAGCCTTCCAGAACTGGGGCTTTCTCATGTGAGAACAAATGTATCCCACTCATGTTAAGGAACTCAATATCATGTGGATTAAGAACTGTAATCAATATTTATAACTAAATCTGTATTATTCAACAAAAGCCATGCTTCATCATAGATTAAAGTCTGAGCCATTCTGTGATAAACACAGAGGCTAAAGCCAGCCAAGAAGCTTCAGCAAAATATATCTGGCAACTTGAAAACATGCAGCAAATGACTGTTATCAGATTTATACAGGCCAAAGGTTTCAGTGATTATCATACGCCTTCATATGATAACACCATGGAAAAAAATCACAAATACAAATCCTGCATTTATAAAGCCTCTCCTACTCACAAAAAAACATCTTTGCATCAACTCCCGGAGTCAGACATCCTCAATAACAGAACTAAAATCTAACTATCTCGGTTATTGGTCTATCACTACTAAGTCAGTCATTACTTTCCAGCTGATCAGCCTGTGCCTGGGAGTTCACCCTCTCATCTGTCCTACCCCCTGCACTTTGGCACAAGGCTTGCACAACACTTGGCTTTCCAGACACTGGTGTGTTTGTGCCCTGTAACGAACACTTCCTTCAGACCACTGAGGTGGAGACCTTTCTTGGAAAAGTTCACAGTATTAAAATGTTTAGCACAGTTCTGCCAAAAGCTTCTTGTACTGGCAGGTGCAAACATACTGGGTATTCAAATGTGGCAATGATTAGCAGCTTGTTTTTCTGCCCTCTCTGTGCCGGTGTGAGGAGCTGTTATGCTGAAGACCACTCAAACCAGCCACCAGAATTAACCTCAACATCAAATTTCCAAAGGAGAACTACTTAGTTGTGCAATCCCACTTATTTACACTCCACAACAATTAGGGCAAAACCATTTTAAGGTCAGTTACCCTTTGCCCCAGTAAATAAATGTTGAAGTCTTCAACTTTTAATGACTCACCAATAAGGTCTACTACACTGCTTGCCAGTGAGGTCAGCATCAGCCTTCCAGAACTATTTTGCAACCATATCCTTCCCTCAGGTGCTCACTGTCCAAGAGGAAGTCACCAAAGCATCGCTGGCAGAGACCAGCGTGGCAAAGAGTGAGCAGTTACCGGTTAATCCCTGCTGCTGGCAGTGCTGTTTGGACACAGCATACTGTGACCCAGTGCTCTAAAATCATGTGTTATTTTCACTTCTCAGTATCCTCTGAACTAGCCTGCCTGCTGTAACAGCCTTTGCCCCAGGGAAGAAGCTAAGGTTAACCTCAGCAAGGTATCTGGGCTCCAAACAGGAGAAAAACATTCCATTTACAAGGAGCAGCTGCTGTGAAGCATTGAGCTGCTCAACACGGGCACCCACCAGCACAGATCACCCCCACTCTGGTTTGTGCCAGCTTTGGGACACCCTCTGTTGCAGTTTAAACTTCTCTTCTTCCTCAGATTGGAGCTATTTTGGGCTTGATGTTTCGTGATTTTTGTACTTCTAAAGGAGAGCTGGCACTTCACGAATCACTAATCCTAAATCCTGCTGTGCCTCTCATCGAGACCTCAATGCAGGTGCCATGTCCTGCTCCACTTTCACTGCAAATACACCATCTCCTAGCAGGTGGCTACACAGGAAGTAATAAAATCCTAACTGCTGATAACAAGATGCCTATCCTATGTAAGCCTAAATTTTACCCAATATTTTTCATGCATCACAATATGCAAATTGCAAGTCTAATTATAGGGTAGCTCTTCAAAACATCAAAGGTTGTTGCATTACAGCACACACCAAACACACACCACTATCAAATATGCTTGGAAAGATAAAGAAGGACCTTACTTGAAAACAGCCTGTTTCTCAGTGTAGAGAACTGCTCCACCACAGGAACACTCAACTTTCCTAATGCCACTACAAGAACCCTAAATAAAGCTGGGCTATGACAAGTACAAAAGCTTCAAGAGCCTCTCTTGATTACACTCCTGTCCTAGAAGGAAAAGCCTTATAGGAAAAGGAATTTTTAAGCTACAAGATGTCATGCCTTCCCACTCCTTTGTTTTATTTTCTTTAACTGTTTTCCTGTCCTGCTAAGAGTAACACACATGGCTGAAGAACTGAGAAGTCCCATGGATTAATATTTTCTTTTTTAAAATCAATATGTTAGCAAGAATTTTTGAAGCTAAGCCAATATCCTGTACTCTCTCCTTCCCCTTGCTTCTCTCAGAAAGAAGAGGCAAGTTCTTCAAATAAATCTCAGTCTCACAGCCAAGTACTCAAGAACCTTTGATTCAGAATCTGGTCTTGTTTGTATCCATATAAATATTCTCTGCTTACTTAAGAGCTATGAGTGTTATTAAACACCCTTTCCTCTCAAAAAACATTTGTCTATTCCAAATACTTAGAAGCTCTAGATGTTACATTAAAGCTTATTATCTAAAGTAAACAGAAGTCTATATCTACAAAATTCACATTCTGCTTAATTTTCCCCCCTGTAGTTGTTTGAAATTTTTACAAAGATAAAACTTACATAGAAAGGGAAGGAAATTGCCAAATATTTTATAATTCCAGTGCAGAAACTGAACTGTTCCTCATACAACACATTTTATAGATGGTTGGAGAAAAAGGAAACAGGGCAGTGACATCAGCAACTGAGAAACCTGAGCTGAGTTCAAATCTACAAGTCAAGATGACACAAAGGGAACATTACCCTGCCACTAATTGTCCATGGTACCACTAAAAGAGCACTGTTTCCATTTAACAACATCAACCACAGGCCTATCATTCTTTAACAATACTAATCTTATTTTATGTTGCAAGGTCAGAAACGTCTGTACTTTGTACAATTCTGAACATTCCTGCACGATGTGCTTCTTAAATCATACCTTGAAAACCACAGCATTTTAGAAATACCTTCATGGATCTGTCAGACCTTCACATTTACTTATTAAATGAAAACTAGACTTTTTTTCCTTCTTCTGACAAGACTGGTAACACTAAGATTTTGTACCTGCAAATCGCCGCAGCTTTATCAACTCCAGGGGATGAGAAGTTATCAATATGAACTTCAGCCAGAAAAACAGTGAGATCTTAACCTATAACTGTAAAGAGAAAGTGCCTCTCACAAGGTGAGAAACAATGGAGATGACTGGTGTTAATGAAGAGCTGGGTGAGAGCTGGACCTGGATGACATGGGCATGATTTGCACTTCAGCTGCTGGCTCCGCTCCTGCAACAGCCTGGTCTTGTGGAACGTGTCCCTGTCCAGGGCATGGGGTTGGAACTGGGTCATCTTTAAGGTCCCTCCCAACCCAAACCATTCTGTGACTCTCTGACTATAAATTACAATGTCTAGCATAAGCCTGTGTTTTTATTTTGGTAAAGCAAAACAATACATCCCTCTGCCTTCCAGCAGAGAGTGACCATCGACACCTCCAGTTCACCAGCGGTGCCACAGAGCCCATTGGAGTCCTGCCCGATGACACTGCTGTGGCCTCCCCCTGCTTCCTGAAGGTCTGGCACAACCCACTGATCTCCAGGGATGGGGCCCAGCAGCACAGCGGGGCACTGGAATCCCTGGGCTGTGGGGGCTGGCACCCTCAGGGCCCTCCTGTCTGCCCAGAACTCTCCCTGCACATCTGTGCAGATGCAGTGCCAGCCCTGCGCTCGGCCTCTGGACACCCGGCAATTCCCACCACAGGCACCTTCCTCTGCAAAAGCCACAGTCCCTAAAGCTTGTTAACAGCAACACAGGCACAGAGCATGCAGCTCTGGCTGGATGCCACCTGCACTGAACTGATTTCAACTGATGAACAAAGCAACACATCTTTAAAGTTGGGGATGAATCCGTGTATGCAAACCTCGGTGTCTGTTCAGGGTTCACTGTGTAAGAACTCCTCCCCTGTGAAGTGTTCTGACTGCTGTATCATCTAACGCCTCCCTCCTCATTATATCATATTTCTAGTGCACTCATGCTCTCAACTCCACTGCTCAATTCTATCCCCAGTTATTCTGTGTAGCCCCATAACAGCCATGACTGGCAGAAGTTGCCCTTTTACCTTAGTTGCTCCTGGCCTTAGTCCTTTTACTACGTGTATGAACTTTTACTACTCCTACATTCTTTTTTTATGGGACTTATGGATGAATCAGAATGACACAGATGGCTTCTTGAGCCAAAGTAAAGCTTCTCTTATCCCCTGAGCTACAGCATTTCAAAAATCAAAAGACAGAAAGGGATTTTGTTACACTGGAGCTGGTTAAATACTGAAGACTGGCTAGTAAGGGGATTTTGTTACACTGGGAGCTGGTTAAATACTGAAGACTGGCTAATAACAACCTTCTGTTGTTAGCCTGTGTGAGAAAAGAAAGCCTCTCTTCAAGTGGGAGAGAACCGAATGTTTTAAGTCTCCCCCGAAAAGCAAAACCATAAACAAGGTTTCTCTAAAGTCATGAGAGATTCAGCAAAAAGCTTTCTTATAAAAAAAAGATCCCCCTTCCCCCTCCCAGCGTTGGCTACGGAAATCTGGGACAAAGGTCCTCATGATTATTCAACGAGTTAGAGATATGCAACTAAACACAAGATTAGTTAATCATAAAAGAAGTAGCACCAAGCCAAGAAACTAAACACGTTTTACACCGAAAACCTGTAAGTATGTGAAAGGGCACAGCTCTTGCGAAACTCCCACAGAAACATTAATATTAAAGGGAAAAAAAAATACTGCCTCGGTGCACGATGCCTGGGCAGACAAACATTACCTCCCACGGCCACGGGACATCTGCCAAGCCACACAGACAGCGGGCCAGGGCTGCCGGGGAGGCTCAGCACTGTCAGCAGCTCCCTGCTCCCATCCGCCGTACACTCCTGCACGCTGCTCCAAGAGCTCAGCACAGTTTAATTCACACCAAGCCAAGGCTGAGTGAAGAGGTTTCAGGGACAAAGCCCCACGTCTAAGGCGGGTCTGCCACTCCAGGATGGCACAGGGAACACGAACAGGGCTGCCCAGGAAGATGCCAACTGCCCCACACTGCCCCAAGAGCACCCAGCCTTTCTCAACAGTGCATTTCAAAAGGAGCAGGGCCTCGACATTCCGAGCAGCTTTCCTCTCCAGGAAGGCAGCAGTTCTTTAGCAAGAGGTGAGACAGTGCCTTGCGCCACTTGCCAGAATCACTCAGGCCCTCGTTTGAATTTCCAGCAGCCCCGGTGTCCCCATTCCACACCTCCCTGTGCTGCCATGGCTCCTCTGCCCTGCTTCCCACCCCAGCCTAGTCCTCCTGAGGACTTCTGTGCCCAGATCAGCTTAGGGTCATTAAGTATTCACACCCATCACTACCCAAACACCCATCACAACCCATTTTGCAAAGCAAGAAGTAATGGAAAATACAGCTCCAGCTCTGTCAAACTTGTCAACAGGCAAAGGAACCCTATAAAGTTTCCAAGCCTTCTGAAAAAGGCCTATACAAGTACTGAAATTCAAGTATCCTCAGAACCCATTTCCTGAAGTCAGCCTGTGCCTGTGGGTCTGTAACAGCTCTCACCTGAAACAGGAGTGACAATCAGGACAGCTTCAGCTTTGGTTGGCTGCCCTGACCACAGAGCTGACTCAAGGGCTGTACCTGCACAGACAAGAAGCTGACCTGTCCCAGCAGGTGAGCAGGGAGACCAAAGCAGTGGGCACGGCCAAAGCAGAGGCACTGTGGGCACCCAGAGAACTTCAGGGTCCTTTTGGACACAGCACCAGACCAGTGCTCCCCAACCTCTGCATCTTGCACACCTCAGGATGACCCCAGCTGTGAGGGTGGGGAGGCCCTGGCAGAGGCTGCCAGAGAAGCTGTGGCTGCCCCATCCCTGGGAGTGTCCAAGGCCAGGCTGGATGGGGCTTGGAGCAACCTGGGCTGGTGGAAGGTGTCCCTGCCCATGACAGGGGGTGGGAATGAGATGGTCCTTAAGGCCTCTTCCAATCCAAACCATTCTGTGATTCTATGACTTCAACCACCTTTATTTTTTAAAGAAAGAAAACAAACCCTGTTGGTGTCTCGAGTTCAAAGCGACGTCTGTGACACCAAACAAGCTGATGGCAGGTGCTGACCCTGCTCCAGCCCCTCGCAGAGATGCTAATGAAGCAAGCAGCAATTACTGCAGTGACCAGTCCTGCTGGGTTAAGGAAATGTGCTGCTTTTGGAGGCTCCTTATCACAGAATCATAGACAGTTAAGGGATTGGAATGGACCTTAAAGATCGTCTAGTCCCAACCCCACCTGCCACGGGCACACCTCCAACCAGGCCAGGCTGCTCAAGGCTTTATCCAGCCTGGCATCGACAACCCCTCTGGGCAACCTGCTCCAGTGTCTCACCACGCTCACAGTAAAGAACTCCTTCCTCTTTCTCACGGCGGTGCAAGCGAACAGAAGCCCTCCGAACACAGCCCGGTTTGGCGGCAGGGCGCTGTGCGGGCAGGGACCCCCGAAAAGGCGGCGCTGCCCCGGTGCCGCGACACCCCCGCGCTGCCCAGCCCCGCGCACCTCGGTGACGATGGTGGAGCTGTACACGTCCCGGCTGTACTCCCAGCCGTCCAGGCACGGCTCCTGCTCCAGCGCCTCCAGCTCCACGTCGGAGCCGGGCCGCAGCCCCAGCGCCGAGAAGTTGGCGAGCGCGGCCAGGCGGTAGCGGCGGCAGCGGCTCGGGGCCTCCCGCCCGCCCCGCAGCTCCAGCGGGATGCTGGCGTTGCGCCACTCGCTGCTCAGGTTGGCCCCGCGGGGCACGGCGCACCGGTGCTCGGGAGTGCCGGCCAGGAACACGATGGAGAGCCCGTTGAAGCCGTTGGGGATGATGCTGGCGCTGAGCAGGAAGAAGACGAGGCGCTGGAAGCGGCCCCACTCGCCCAGGAAGGCGGTGGCCGCATCGTAGTCGCGCATATCGCGGCCGAGCTGCGGCCGCCGGTGCCCGGGGCCGCTGTGGCTCGGGCAGGAAGCTCCGCGCCATGGGCCGGGCCGGGGGTGGGGTTTGCAGGCGGGGGCCCCGCAGGTGGGGCCGGGCCCGGCGCGCTCCGCCCGGGGGCGCGGCGGGGGCTCGGCCGGGGCCGCCGCGGCTGCGGGAGGAGCGGCCCCGGCAGCGCCGGCACGGGCCTGGCCGAGGGTCACACACGGGAGGAGCGGCCCCGGGCACGGGCCTGGCCGAGGGTCACACACCGGAGGAGCGGCCCCGGGCACGGGCCTGGCCGCGGGTCACACACGGGAGGAGCGGCCCCGGGCACGGGCCTGGCCGAGGGTCACACACCGGAGGAGCGGCCCCGGGCACAGGCCTGGCCGCGGGTCAGACACGGGAGGAGCGGCCCCGGGCACGGGCCTGGCCGGGGGTCACACACGGGAGGAGCCGGCACGGGCCTGGCCGCGGGTCAGACACGGGAGGAGCGGCCCCGGACACGGTTTTGTTGACCATGACGCTGTTTTCTGAGGGAACACGCACTAGGTGTTTGACAAATAATACATTTAATAAATAATATTCTGATCTTAGGCCCCAAGCCCCAGCTCAGTACCCAGGGGCACTGGCAGGAAGTTCAGATGCCCCACAGAGCTCGGTTCCAAAGCTGTGGGGTGTCACTGCACACACTTTGGCCGTGTTCTCCCAAAGGCTAGTTCACATTTCTGACTGGCTTTTTGTGGCTGATCTTTTCTCCACCTCTAATTGATTAAATAATAATAAAAAAAAAGGTATACTTTTTACAGCATTTTTGAACAGTAGTATTTAAAAAGATCTTTCATTCCCTGTTGGAATCACACAGCTGTGAAAATTATCAAAGGAGGAAAATGAATGACAAAAGAGGAGTTAAACCACAAAATCACCCTTGAGCATGGCTAGGGGCAGCTTCCAAGGATTCACAGGGTCAGGACTGAGCCACCTGAAAGCCAGAAAAACTGCACTACCCCATTATACTCTTCCTGTGCGGAAGAACTGTGGAAGAGTTGTTTTTAGGGTTTTATTTTTATCCACGCTAAATACATTTTAAATTACGTCTTTAACCTTCTTGGCACCAAGCATTTACGCTGGGAGACTTGCTCTGCAATAACAACCCAGACGGAGAGCAGGTGAGACAATGTCAGTGCACGTTTTTATTACAATGAGCACAGGAGTTAATGAGTGACGATTACACAGCGTCACACGGGCTGAGCAGCCCCGGTGAGGCAGCGGAGGAGCGAAGGTTGCACACACACACCCGAGTGAAGGTGACAGCGGTGGCACAGCAGGCACAGCGCGATGGCCCCTGCGCTCAGGGAGTGATCCAGCTGGGCCTTCCCTCATTTCCACCGCACTTCAGACACCGTAAGGCCTTCCAACAGCACTCCTCAGCAGGACATTCTGCTCTTGCGAAAGGTCGTCAAATCTGCTGCTAGAAATGCTAAAATGTGACGCCAGCTCGAGTGCAGTGGTGTAAGTGAGAAAAATGAGACTGATTAAAACAAGGTTTTTTAAAAAACACAATCCTCTTTCTTACTTAAAAAAGGAAAAACAGGTTTTAAGATACTACAAGGTTCAAGAGTATAAAAATATTTACCTTTTAGAAACACCCAAGCGTACAATCTCATACAATAAGTCTCAACTTAATATAAAAATCTTCATAAAAATATGGCCACCTATATTTAACTCAAGTCCTCAAACCTGTTCTGTGATGATATATAAGGGCTTTCTTGAGAAATTTAGGTACATCTAAACAACTGTTCTATAGATTAATTCTGCAATAAGTAAAAACAAGATTAAATACTGCTGTCATTAGAGAAATTACAGCTTGAGAAGGGATGAGAACATCAGGGGTCACAGGACACTGGTTACCTCATGCCATGTTACATTTATGGCAAAAGCATAACTCCAGCAAATTATTAGAAAATAGTATTTCCACTCCCCAAAGCAGCTTGAATTAATTGCACAAGTTCCTTGCATTTAAATGTTATAAAGCTTTATATTTGTGCTTGAACGTCAGGGAGAGGCTCATTCCTGTGCCAAGTGCCAGCACAAGACAGCTCACCCTGAACTCTCGCAGTAGAGATGAGACACTGTGCTTCTGTTGGCCCTTACAGGAGGTGACTCTGGGCTAATTGTTATTTATAGAGGATAAAAATCAGTCTACCAGGTCTGATAGACTTTATGTGTCCAAGAAGTGCACGCACAGCCAATATATACAAAAATAAAAGGTATTACATTTTTTCCAAAAGATGTGGTGTTTATAAAACAGTAGTAGCACAACTTGAAAGTCTATGTTTGTCATCATCCAATCTACCTATGCTAAACTTTTGTATTTAAAAAAAAAAACGTACATAATCTGTAAGTTTTGAAAAACAAAACACTGGTGTTTAGTTTCGTTTTGAAAAAAAATGTGGTCCCAAATTAGTCATTTTGCATTTTTAATAGCTGCAGGTAAATATCTCCAGTACAGATTTTTAAAAGCAAAGCCCCTTTAAATTTGTAAATGGTACAAGGGCTTTGCAGAGGCTTTTGAAACTGCAGTGAGCTTTCTCTGAAGGTGCAGAACAAAGTGGTATACATTCAAAGGAGAAATTAAATACTTTGGAGAAAATAAAAACAACACCCTGAAAGACCTAAAAAAAAATGCTCATGCCCAGATACGATGAAAATCCTAAAAGCTAAAATTTCATGGCACATACAGACAGGATCACTGACTGCTGAAGCTTATGTTTCTGTTGAAAGTGGGCATGGCCCATCAGAAAGTCAGCAAACTATAGTCCTTACTCAGTGCTCGACATTTCCCCCCCTCCCCAAAGACACTGAACATTCACAAAGCCCAGGGTGGGCTCAGGCTTTATGAAAAAGCATCATCTTTTACAGGAACAAGTGGATCCCAGGTCCTGGGAAATGCAAGAGCCATGGAAAGCTCCTCTGATGTTCTGTTTAAATCCATGTCCTTACAGCAAAGTCTGCGTCTGCTCTGCTACAGCTCAGTCCTGATCCCACTCAGTCCATGGGCTTTGATCACAGATTTCAAAGGAGGCCAGGACCTTTCCTTCAGGTTTTGAAAGACAGGCACCCAGCTCCCCTTCTTCCAGTCAACACAGTGAGAAGAACCACCAGCATTACATTTGCTATATATTTTCGTCCTTTGAGCAGCTTTCAGCAAGTACCTGACTTACTGGACTCACTGCTGTATTATTCCTAAGGCTCCCTTCTAGCTTACTCCTTGAGTTCTGTTTACACAGCAGGCCCTCATTCCTCAACAGGGACTGTACCTGCTGCCAAACCCCAGGAATCAGGACACTGATTTACAGACTAAGAGCCCTACAGGAGCAGACAGCAGCTGGTCAGTAAACTATGTAATCTGGGGACAGTAGCACAGGGGATAACTATGGTGCAATAGCACTGACTGTTGGGTTTTGTTCATTCTCCTCTAGTAGAAAAATGCATCTTGAGATGATCCTGTTCTTCTTTCAGCCCCTCTGACAGCGTGTGTCCTTCTTCACAAGGGTGTTACCAGGCTTTTAGGACTCTCCTTGGAACTCCTAATGCCAGTGGTTTGTTGCCTGTTTCTGAAACTGAAAGCAAGTAAAAGGCTGAGAACCAGAGAACCCTTTCCAGGGTGTCAGCCACGCCCCTCCCAGTGAGCCCCGCTGCAATAACCCCGTTACCTGCTGACAGGACCCCACAGTGCAGTGCTCTGTGCAGTGCAGTGCTCTGTGCAGTGTGCCTGGCTGCGTGGCAGCAGCAGTGCTTTGCCAGTGCACATCAGCTCTCAGGTTCAGACATTCTGGAGAAATTGCATGATGTCACTGCTGAATTACCAACCCAAAAGAAAATAATCTACGGGGCACTTAGAAAGCTTTGATGCTTTGCAGTGGAACTGTAGAAACACATTTACTGATTGTGAGAAGGGACTGTGCAGGAGCAGGCTGTGAACTCTTGTGAAGCACAGGATGAATGGAAGCTGCCTTACCACTTCACCTTCAGCATCTGCTCAAAGCTCTCGGGCAGGGGTTTGCCGTAGCTCTCCGGGAGAAACAGGGTGAGGATCCCGATCAGCACAGTCAGGCTCCCCATCAGGATATAGGGCAGGAATCTGTCATAGGCACCTGGCAGAACAGAGGACATGCCAACAGTACTTAATGTCCACAACCAACAAGCCCACGTGGAAACTTTCAGACATTGCTGTAATGCAGAATTCATTTGGAATAATTAGCTGAAAGCTTCATAAATATCAAAGGTGAATCCAAAACTGAGTTACATCTTTTACCTGCCAGCAAACAAAGGGATTTTCCAGTTTTAAAAATTTTAAAGCTTCAGCGTGTGCTCTTGGATGGCAACACCTACCATCAGTTTGTGCCAACCCCCATGTTTGTGTAGTGGATAATAGTTTTGGGGGTTGGGGATTTTTTACATTTTCAGCTGGGCTAGCCAACATCTTTGCAAGGCAACAGCTCTGCTGGGATCACTGCTGGAGTCTTCAGCACTGCACTGTCATCAGGAACCAAATCCTCTGTTAAATAATTCAGTACGAGGGAATAAAATTGCTCATAAGCAACCAAGCAACTCATCAGCTGCCTGGGATTGTGCATCCCGCTGGGCTGGTGCAGAAGAAGGGAAGAGACTAATGCAGCTGGACAGGCCAGCTACAGACTAACAAGTCATCAACAGGGGAATCCTTCAAAGCCTTCCTTCCTGCAAAGGGAGACAGCATCAGGCTTCCTGAGACACACACGAGGCTCTGACCTTGGTCTACTCAGAATACTATTTTGGACTGGAAGGCAGCAGCCCCTGCCAGCAGCCTGAAGCTGGCACAGGAGTGTTTGGGCAGGATGCAAGATCCTCAAGGCACAACAGCACAGCAATGGAAAGATCTTTCAGGAAAGGGATTACCAAGGAGTTTTTAAAGTATTTAAGATACAGAAAATACCAAACTGGACTTGACAGCTTTATTTTATAGCTGGGATAGAGCAATGTGCTCTATAATGTATGGAATAAACCAGGATTG